TACCCACTTTGATATATACATATAATGGGTCGAAAATGTCAAATATGTATCTTCAAAACTAATCAAGATGTGGTTTTCATCACGTGTTTAAGCATGGAAAACTTATCTTATTCATTACTTACTTTATATGTTTCGAATATAAACATTATGGGCGTAGCAAGTTTTAGGTTATGGATAGCTAAATCTAACACAAACATATGTAAAACTTAATTTTCTTTCGATTTTATTACGATATATTAGGGACATTTCTTATAATTTGCAAAATACTCGAGGTTTTTTATATTCATAATGTTTCGGAAATGGATGCCACATAATACCATTTCCAATACAAAATACATAGTAAATATATTGGATTTCTAAAATGCCATCATATACAGGGTGTTCTATTAAAAAACATGAAATTAGATACCTAGAGCTTAAAAGAAATGGTATAACCAAAAATAATTTTAAAATGTGAATATATTGATTTAGTTCAACTTTTTTTAAGCAGTTTTTTGCAATTATTTATTACTATTTTTGTCTGATTTAATTCAAATTTGGTTCAAAATTTGGCGTTTCAGTGTTTCTTTTATGGTATTTAATTATGCTCCACTTGAAGAAAAAATACACAGTATACAGGGCGATTCAGTCATAATGTCATTAATTTTAAGGGAAGATAGGGAAAACTAAGTAGAATACGAATATGTGATTAAAAAATCTTAAAATGCATATTTACGCTGGAAGAAGATATTTTCAAATCATTAAACCCCTTTTCGACTGCTCCTGACTGCTTACCTACAAAGGTTTATCGAGAGTAAATCTTGACCTATCGTATTCGGTCACTAACCTATCTTTTACTGTTTTTAACAGTGAACGACAAAAACAGACTTTTTTACCTTTATGAATGAATAAGATATTTTTTTGCAATTTAAATATTAACATGTATTATTTATTTGTTAATAAAAACTAAGGATAATAAGGATAAGGATAATTTTTGTTTTCGAATGATATGTTATTGCAACTTAAAATTTATAATATTGTACGTTTTCTCTATGTTTTATAATTGATTATGAGTTTTTAATGTTACACATGTTCAATTAATTATTCAGTTTGTAGTACATATACCTTATTGTGTGACTTATTGCTTTTCAAAGAGTAGTACGGTACCTACCTTTTTAAAATGCCAATACACTCATCCCTCGATAGCACTTTGTTAATAAAATGATCCATTGCACTTTGATTTTGAAATCAATTGCAAAATTTAAGACGGCCGGGGAAATCAGCTGTTTCGGTTCAACGTTCGAACGCTCTGTGGTGAGCCGGCGCGTTCCCAGTCAGCAAATGTGATGCAAAGTAAGGCGCCGAATTAACGGGAGTTAAGGGGCGATTTCCTTATTTTTTAAAAGATCGAGTACATTTTTTATTTCGATTTTCTGTCTATTCTGCCTTCCAAATACGTGGTTAAAATTAATGACATTTTGACTGAATCACCCTGTATAAATAGAACGATAGGCTAGTGTAACTTTCACGGTATTTATCGACTGCCGATTTTAATATATTAATATCATTGCAATCATTTTAGTTTGTGTAAGTCCAATGCTCCCTAGAAAATTTGATAAGATGTGCGAAAATATGGGTTTTACCCACGCTTGTTAAAACTTGTTTACACCTGCCTCAACGTGATAAATCATCAGATTGCCTATATTATGAAAGTTTACCTCAAAAAGTAGTATCTAATTTAGATACAGTGGTGTTGATACTTCTATCGACTTATATCATTTACTGATATTTACTTGATAATGCACAATATTTTGTTAACACTACTTAGAAGAACAGTTAAATATATTATTAATATTTTCGTAAAATTGATAAACGTACAACAATATTTTCGTGTCGGTTTTATACACCTTTGCCCTGCACAAATATTTTGCTTTATATACGTTACAGTCCGTTTTACACCGGATTTCCTGTAAGTATCTAAATATACACACTGTACACATTTTCGATGCGAGCTTAAAATAAAATGTTTTGGTAGTATGCGTAGCTAATCCTGTCGTGGTTGTTCACAAAGGTGACATCACCGGTTGTGTGTTTCACGGTTTCATTAATGCCAGGATAATTTTAGACAAATGGATTAATTGGTTTTTATTTCCTAAATAAATCGCTGACTTGAAAAAGCCAAAGTAAAGTTTTAAATAACGCTCCGTTAATTGTTAACCGTACCTCATTTTTTTCCAAGGGTTACGAAACTGAAAAATCCATAATTTGTAAAAATATACTTATTGAAAATTTAAATGGAACTATTTTTATCTTTTTTTTTGCAACGTTGGTAAACTTCTCCAGTCAACTTGCCGGAAGAAAGAAAAAGTCAATCACAAAGTCTTCAACAATTGCCATCCATACATTAAGGGAAAACTGGTGTTAATGTGTTGTTTTTCGGACACCGCATGTGGGTTTTCCGTATGTGATTGTTATGAAAATTCATTATGGTATTCTTAGACAAGTTAACTTCATCTTTCTTGCATCTATCGACAGTCTAGGGTCTAGGGTTTCTGATTTCTCGGGACTCGAGAATTCTCGACTAGGAATTCCCGGGAATTCTCGAGTTCTCGAGAAATTTCTAAAACTTAAAAAAGTCATAATTTTGGTATTGTAATGCGAAATATAAATATGCTATTATACTTACTTAACAATCATCATTAACATTTATTATTTATTCAGTATTTTTATTAATTACTTATGTTTCTACTTCTACTAACAAAACTAAATTAAACTTTGATTATCTTCTTCTTGAAAACCTTTAACTTGTTTTTTTATTAAACACTTTCAATATACTTATGTTTATTTTAATGTTTTTGAATCGTAGCTTTCTTCCAATAATTATTAATAATCGTTAATCATGCAGTCTTTTAATTAAACAAACGGTAGATAAGGAATTTAACCGAAGAAATCTTTAAAAAAACAAGCTTTAATTTAAAGATACAGAAGCGTTCTTCCTATTAATTTATCACTTATAATCACAATCACATTAACAAAACAAACATAAAATAATCAACTAAAGGAACAGGTACTAAATATTTTCAGAATCAACATCAACATTAGGTATCTGCTTATAATAAAATTTCTACAAAGACTTATAACAAGATACATTAAAAAAATAAGAATCATCAAAGTAAACTAAAGCCTTGAAAACTTAAAATAAATAAATCATGAGCTAGTCGAGAAACCACTTTAACCGCTAAGTTATTTGTCGAGAAACGAATTGAACGCATGAACAAAACTAACTAGTCAAGAACTTAAGACGCGCGTGATTTTTAAATTTCTCGATTTCTCGACACTTTTTTCTCGTCTCGAGTAAGGCCAGATTTCCCGGGAATTCAGACAGTGTCATTCTACGTGGATAATTTTCGGGTGCTTCTACTCATTGAGTACGATAGGCGGACAAAAGATATTTTTTAAGAATTTCCTTTTAAGGAGTAACTGTTTGAGGATGCCCATTTTCAGCGGTAAGTTTTTTAAAACTTCCTGTTTCCCCGAGACGAGGGTGTAAACAATTAAACATCGTATGANTTATTTCCTAAATAAATCGCTGACTTGAAAAAGCCAAAGTAAAGTTTTAAATAATGATCCATTAATTGTAAACGTTGCCCCATTTTTTTTCCAAGGGTTACGAAACTGAAAAATCCATATTTTGTGAAAATATGCTTATTAAAATTTAAATGGAACCCTTTTTATCTTTTTTTGCAAAAATAAAAGTTTTTCTTCGTCTATGATTACTTTTATAGCGTTTATAAAAAGGTTTGACATTTGATAGATAAAATTAAAAACTAAAGATATACGACACCTTTTCTAGATTTCAGAAAACATAATTTGGCCTTCGAATTAGTCGTATGTATTTCTGAAATTGTCAAGTATTTTTCGAAACGGCCAGTTTTCTATTCACGAAAAAGTTCAAAAATGCCCCAAGTCTATCGAATTGTTCCACAAATCGCGATAATGCGATTTCGTAATTCTTCCAGTTGGAGTCGTACAAATCAATTGTCTAAGATGTCCCCACAGAAAGAATCGAGAGTTTAATTCTGGAGACAGTGAAGGTGAAGTTTGTATTTCTCCTCTACCTCTCCAATGATTTGGACATGCAACATCCAAATAATGTCGAGCAACTAAAATGAACTGGAACACCGTCGTATTTAAACATTTGTTGTCTTAATAAAACAGGGACTTCTTTTAGCAGTGTTGGTAAACTTCTCCAGTCAACTTGCCGGAAGAATGAAAAAGTCAATCAGAAAGTCTTCAACAATTGCTATCCATGCATTAAGAGAAAACTGGTGTTAACCCATTAGCGGCCAAAGGTGCGTAAACGCACCCTTTTATTTTAATATTTTTTGAGATCATCCGTAAAATTTTATGCTTTCCTACCTACAAAATCTTATGTCAACAGTCCAGAGAGTGTACTAGTATTTTTATTTAATTAAAAATAATATTGTTTTGATATCATTTTTTAAAAGAAAATACGATATTTAAAACTTTTTTCACACATTTTCAAACAAATATTGTTCTAAGTTAGTAAAAATGGGCAGACTATTTTTTTTTTGAGCCAGGCGTAAATAAAAGATCTATTTTGATACTCATGTAGTTTTTTACATATGTTTTCAAAACGATGGTCTTAATGATACTTATATGTAGTGGATGCGTGCGCACCTTTGGCCGATAACGATTGACATATTATTCATTTATTCACTCCTATGTAAGTCTGGACAAATATTGGCATATAAAATACAGGACTTGTCAGATCATATATCAGTTCATTATTAGCAGAGTGTAGTTCTTGGTTTTCCTTTGTCTAAAAAAGTGTAATTTTTGTATAAAATATTGTTTGAACTAAAGTTTTTTGTAATGCATAATAGTTATTTTTTTGGATACATCTAGTGCCAATATGAGGTAAGAGATTTTTGAGTAGTATAGAAGCTATAGAGATATAATTTTGTTTATATTATTGCAGTTATTTGTCAAAATAGAAAATGAAAAGGGCACTAACCACTAAACTTGCTTTGTTAGAAGAGGATTCAGATTGTGAAAATGCTGAATTGGTTGATGTTTTTTATGTGCCGCCAGAAACAGATGAAATTACAGATGAGGAAAACTTTGACGAAAATATTATTGGAGAAGAGGGATTGCAGACGGATAATGCAGGAACGTATGAAATACAACCAAGTATAGATAGTGATGATGATTTGGAAGATGACGTTTTTAGTTTTTTATGTAAAAATGTCCAAAGTAAGGTGGATGCAAATGCACTTTACACTGTGCACACAACGAAATCTCAGCTAAAATTTCTTTCGGATTTAGCACTCTCTTTAGATACAGAAAACANAAAACCTTTAACTTGTTTTTTTATTAAACACTTTCAATATACTTATGTTTATTTCAATGTTTTTGAATCGTAGTTTTCTTCCAATAATAATTATTAATAATCATTAATCATGCAGTCTTTTAATTAAATAAATAGTAAATAAGGAATTTAATCGAAGAAATCTTTAAAAAAACAAGCTTTAATTTAAAGATACAGAACCGTTCTTCCTATTAATTTATCACTTATAATCACAATCACATTAACAAAACAAACATAAAATAATCAACTAAAGGAACAGGTACTAAATATTTTCAGAATCAACATCAACATTAGGTATCTGCTTATAATAAAATTTCTACAAAGACTTATAACAAGATACATTAAAAAAATAAGAATCATCAAAGTAAACTAAAGCCTTGAAAACTTAAAATAAATAAATCATGAGCTAGTCGAGAAACCACTTTAACCGCTAAGTTATTTGTCGAGAAACGAATTGAACGCATGAACAAAACTAACTAGTCAAGAACTTAAGACGCGCGTGATTTTTAAATTTCTCGATTTCTCGACACTTTTTTCTCGTCTCGAGTAAGGCCAGATTTCCCGGGAATTCAGACAGTGTCATTCTACGTGGATAATTTTCGGGTGCTTCTACTCATTGAGTACGATAGGCGGACAAAAGATATTTTTTAAGAATTTCCTTTTAAGGAGTAACTGTTTGAGGATGCCCATTTTCAGCGGTAAGTTTTTTAAAACTTCCTGTTTCCCCGAGACGAGGGTGTAAACAATTAAACATCGTATGATGATAACACGATCTTAATAACGTTTTCCATAAAGGGTCTAATTCCTAATGCGTTGCCGTTGTCAAGACGATAAATCAAGTGCACATCGCTCATTTCACTATTTATGTAGGTATTTTAAAGATGGTAAATTGTACACGGAAACACCTGTCGTATTAAATGTTTGAGAGATGCACAATGGCAGCTGTTGACAGCAGTGTATTATTTTCGCAAATCCTCAACGTACAATTATTTAGGAAAAGAAAATAATGTGGTACCAATCTAAAATAGAAACTAGTCTGTACATTGATTTTTTTTTGTAATGCTCATATCCTTTGGCTCCATAAAAAGATACCATGAAAAACCATTAATGATTGCAATTTTCAAACCCTGTTAAAGGAGCAGACCTTGCGTTTTGGCAAGAAATCGCTCCTTAAAGTTTGTCGCAACATTAAAGAAATGCCATTTATAAGAAAACAACAACTGAAACGAGACGTGTAAACATGGTGATTAATGCAAAGCAATCCACATGAAATTATATCACCAGCATGGTAAGGCTAAAAATAGTCCGTCTTTCGCCAACGTCATAAACATTATGCACCGTTTGCTGCTCTTACTCTTGTGTGAAATTTGAATACCAGATAATCATTATACACGGCATATATTAAAACAAGCTCTAATTATAACAGCTCTATCGATTTCAGCGGTTATTTTTTCAACTGCCCGGTTATTTCGGTCTTTGGCATAAGTGAGAACTTCCTAGTGCAAAGGATGTTTCGGTCGGCAAGTTCAATCGGATTTCACGGTCATAACGGATAATGTGTGCTTTGTCAAAGCTCCGTCTATTTATAAAATGTAAACAGTGGTTAGGTTATAAACGTTCCGCGAATTTAGTAAGTAATTCTGTCGTTCTTGGGATGGTGGCGTCTGAAATAAATGCACAGACTGCCCCATTTTCGGTTCCAGAAAATCCGGAAATGGAAATTGCAGGTATCCTACATGTTTCTGGTTACGTATTAAGTGGGGTCGACATGATTTATTTTAAGGGGCGTCAAAAAATAGTTCAATCAGAAGTTTTCTCTTTTTCCGGCGAGTTTACGTTAGAGAAACAGATGAGAAGATAATTTCATTATTTTGCCAGAGATTTGTTTAAAATACATTTTTTTTGAGAAACTATATGAAAACTTTATTGAGAATCCAGTGTTGTCCATGTTACACAGAACTCTTAAATTCAAACTTATATCATGCAATAGGAAGATAAGAGTTAAATAAATAAGCGAGTTAAGCACCATTTATACCCATATCAGTACCATGTGAGATCAGTATCAGAATAGACTTTTTTCGTCTGGACGTCATTGATTTGTGTAAACCTACCTTTAGCAAGCATCTTTTTTGACCTTGAAATACCTTAATAAAAATGTTTATGGTCTTCTCCTGCTATTGCCTTCCCTATATTCACAATAAATTATTTTTTTTAGAAATACTGAGCTTTTACTGATAAATGGAGGTCATACATAACGTGAACACAATAACATGAGTACTCTGCAGTACTTGCAGCAGGTACTTTGTGCAACTACAGTTGGTCGTCCAGCCGAAAGGATCGAACCCACGGTCTCAGCCACAACGATTAAACGTCTGACGCCTTAAATCGCTACACCACCAACTAATACAGTATAAACGAATTTAATTAGCAATAAAAATAATATACGATGTGAGAATGATCTATTTATTTATTATGAAGGGAAGCGTGTTAAAAAAATAAAATTGTACTTAAATCTCATTTATTGGGCACTTCTTGTATTAGAAAGTAGGTAACATTATTGGGTAAGAATTAATGAAAAGTAATATTACCATGTATTTCTAAAAAAAAAGAAAAAAAATGAAATAACAGTTTTTTTGGTTATTATGGTCAGATGTGAAGAAATATCGTTTACCAGTAATAGAAATATTCTACTTTTTAAGAAATTGTATTAACTCCTTTGAAATTATTTAAAAATATGGCCTGACTCAAAAATATCAGCGTTTGAAAATAAAGTCTTTTCTTACAATACACAATTTCTGTAGAAAATTATAAGTAGCAGCATTATTTTGCACTTAGTCAGAATTCTAAGTAAACTGGAACAGAAAATGAGTACATTTCAAAGATTTCAATCAGCAAGTCGTTTTGTCAGTCATCCTGAATTTGTCAGCGCTCAATTTCTGGAAACATTGTACAAAGTGGTTAAAATAGATATAATGTAATTCACGTTCTGTGTATTCACTGCTGTAAATAAATTTGGAGCATATTAATGCTTAAGTGTTTAATTATTTAAATAAATCAGTAAAATGTTTACCAATTTTTAATGTAATAAATAATTCCTGAATTTTGCACGTCTACAGAAAAACGCGTACGCTACTGTAAACATAATCAGACTATGTAGAATGCTTTTTGGAAACTATTAACACATGTTTGTATTAATCACAATTATTGAGTATCTTACAAATTTGCTGGACAAAACAGGAAACGTGCATTTTCTGATGTTTACATGATCTCCGTGATCTTTCTATGCCAAAAATTAAAGGAAGCTGCACTAGTTTAGCGATACAACTCTAAATTTGATAAATTTTTCCAATTTACTGTATTTCCCAATTAAACAGTAAGGAATATACTAAGAAAATTGCGAAACGTTGTGTTTCTGATGTGTAATCTATTTCTATCAAATTCAGTTCTTATTACTGAAACTGATTATTATAACATTTCTCAGAATATTCTTCTAAGAACATTTCGGTGCATAAACATCCTTATTAATAACCGCATTTCCATGGTGAAAAATTTATCATTATAACGCAATTTTTACTTGGAAATAGCTAGACTGGAAATAGGGTGGTGAAACTCGTTCCACATTATTGGTGTTTGCTTCCACATTGCATAACACCAAATGACTAATAATAATAATAACGCGCTTTCTTAAAGAGTGAAGCATGTGTCGTATAACCGGAAATAACGGAAAATGCTGCAAATGTCTGATTGACTTACATGAATGTATTTCTCAGAAAACTTCCTGGAATCGGAATATTTCTTTTGAAATGACATAAATCATTGCTGATTTCATTTTAAGTACTCGTAGGTATATAAATTGTTTATTTTCTGTCTAGAATTTAGAATCATAAAGTTATTATAAGATATTGCTTGTAATTATTTTTCTCTGGCATCTATTTATATTTTTTTTATTTAAATGATTATTTTTCTATACTAAAAAGTGAAAAAAAATTAAAAGGTGTTGATTTTGTGACTATCTGTTGGTTGATCAGAAAATCACAATGAAACTATTGTTCTTGATTCCAGTAAAAATATTACTAGTTAAATTTTCATTAGTTTGATACACTTTTGTTTTAGTCATTCTTATTCAATAGTTTGATAATGAAACGTTGTGTATACGAGGTCTGTTGAGAAAATAACTGAACTTTAAGAGGGCTTTATAGCAAATAGGCAAACAGCAATACATTTTTATAAGATGTAATCAGAATATACGAAACAGTTATAAATTTACATTAAATTTTTCTTCGTTACACAGGAATTATTTGGAGTAAACTATCAAAATGAAGGTCACCCAAAGATGATATAGAATTAAAAACAGTGCATGCGTTAAAAATAGGTGATGTTCTCATTACATTAGTATTTGCAAGATCACAATAAAAGGTAACATTATGCCGAGTTTCTATACTTGAACAAATAAATTTAATTTTTCCAATAGAGCAGGGCAGTCGATTCTGTAGTTTATTAAATTATAAACAAAAGCAATTGCTGAACAGTTTCTTCTAAGCAATAATGACTGCAATTGGAAAGCTTGAAGCAACACCTTATTGTCTATACCTCTATCAGGATAAGCACCATTTCTTTTAAAATAAATAAACTTCAAGAACCTCCGCTGCACCGACTCTATTTGACAAATATAATTATGATATACAGGGTACCAGATAATGGATCCGTATTCTAATTTACTTCTAATGAGTGACACATATAATAATTTCATTGAATCAACATTCGAAAAGTCTCTCATATTTCTAATAACAAATCCCAAAGTTTTAGAAGCCGAACATACTACATTGTTAATATGGTCCGTAAAAGCCAGTTTAG